CTCATGTAACCATTATTTCGTCTAAAAATATAATTTGTATCTATATATCAACAAACGAACTTAGCTGGTAGCTCTTTTCATTCATTAGAAAATAATTGTTCCAGCAATCTCAATTAAGTGAAAATCAAATTAGACAAAACATTCTTCAAAGTTCAAAATACTATTTAAATAATCACCGCTACTTCCTCATTGATGACAGGCTGTTCCAGCTGATCAGAACGCGTTCTTATATCATCAGGCCATCTTTTTCTTTTTCAAGTATAATTTACACATTTTTTTTCAATAATAGTTACACCTTCTCTTAAGGAAAGAATACTTCAAGTCAAGTGACCTAAATTTTCAATATAGTATTAATAATACATATGGTAGGGTCAGAATTCAGCAGACCTAAATTTTATACACATTGAGCATACTTTAAGAAGCAACATAAACATAAATATGACACTTCTCAATATAAATGCACAAATTAGTTCAAAAAGTATGACTCGTCGACTCATATAATCGTAAGGTTGTCTCATACAACAAGAATGTATTATAATTAACATTCACAGTAAACTTTGAATTTCATTTTTCGGTATAAAAAATTACAAATTCACCCCATACTACATTCATTATTCAGTTTTCAACCTAATCTTTCCGTAAATCATGCTGCATACTAACAATTACTCTTAATAACTGTAAAAGTGACTAAAGATCCGACCAATGAGCTGACTAATAACTGTAAAAGTGACGAAAGATTCAACCCATGAGCTGTTTCAAGAGTCGTATAACTTGTTACATGAGTGTGTATTTTGGAGGACTCGAAATGCAACTCAGATCATGAAAAGTTTCCTGGTAATGTGATGAAAGTTACGTACAGAATTCCGCAAATCAGGTTAAGCATAAAATCATGAACCCTTGAACGTTGCTGGGCTTAGTGAATGTATATATCTGGAGGAGCTTCTTCTGGGATCTGGAAAATTTCAACATATGCATATTGATCGTCAGAACTATAGAACCACTAAATGTCAATTAATAAGTGAGATAGAATATGTATGCAGTAGATTTTGGTCATAATCAGATTATGGACACTGTTAAGTTAATTAAGCCACTAAATTCATGCACAAAAAGCATAATCACTATTCACCTCTCCAACATTCCACTTCCATTCAGATTTTGTCCATATGCTATCGTCCACATTAGAGGTGTTCCCCACTGGACTGCTATTTCTGCACAAGAAAAGCTATTATAAGCACAATCAAAACTATAGAGTGCATTTTTTTTTGCACAAAAAACGTAGACAATTTTCGGAACACAGGCATAATGATTATCAAATGCAAATGCATTTTTTTTTTTCACAAAAACGTAGACAAAAAGATTATAAGAAAGCCATAATCACGAGCTTCATCAGATTGACAGACTTTAAGCAACAGATTCTGAGTCCATAATAACAAGTTCAATATTTTTTAGGATAAGCTAATGATACAATAGCTCAAGTTTTGATTCGTTTTTTGCAGCATGTACAGTGGATTTTAAATAAGTCTTATGAAATTCTTCTTTGAAACCAAATTCTCAAATACGAATCCTTCAGTCCAAGTGAAAGATAAAAGGTAATCAAAATCAAAATATTTACAACGGGGGGAGCAACTGCCTTGCATCTAAATGCAGCAAACATATTGGACAAGTTGAAATAGCAGAGATTAGAAGATCTTGTTCATTTTGTACTTTTTCTGCTGTATATTAAAGTAATTTAATTTATCATTAATGTTCATTGAATTTGTTCAAGCTTGGTTAAACTAGAAAAAGCTCACAAGCCATAAGTACGCTAGCTTTTGCACAAGAAAAGAAGAAGCATATTTAGATAAGTGAAAAAAAAAAAAATTATAACTTACGTTGACTGGACGTTTATGGTGGACTGGCCAAAACCGCTAGAAGCTGAATTGTGCCCATTGAAGGCTGAGTTTGACTGTTTAGCAAACGCATTCCCTGTCTGGGCTGAGTTAGCTAATGTTGAGAAAGGATTCGTCTGGGCTGAGTTAGGTAATGTGGAAAAAGGATTCGTCTGGGCTGAGTTAGCTAATGTTGAAAAAGGATTCGTCTGAGCTGAGTTGGCTAATGTTGAAAAAGGATTTGTCTGGGCACTATTTGAACCAAAAGGAAAGGAGCTTTGAACAGGTTGGTTTGGAGTTTTGCTGCCAAAGGTGCCTAACAGAATATAAAGTCAGAGATCAAAGTTTGCATGCATGAATACATCATTTTAAATAGCAACATGCCACAAAACAAAAATATTACCTGGAGTGTTAAAAGGTGAATTGTTTGTCGGTAACATGTTAGAAGGCTGACTGTTGTTGTTCTGGACAGCAGTTGGTTGGCCGAATGAATTAGGCGACGCAGCAGGCCTAGAGGCAGCATGAAAGAGAGAAAAAAAAATTAATCAAGAGAAAAAGAAAAGAAACACTAGGATGTAGAAATATCCAAAGCTATCCAAGTGAAAGGATTATGAGAAATAAAGAATAAGCTTAAAGCTCTTCGGTCCTGACCCAGTATTCAGTGAGGCACCCACTTGATTAAAACTTGATGCAGGTGAAGGAAAAGCACTGTTCATGGCTGGAGTGCTTGCATTGCCTCCACCAAATGGGTTTTGGGTGCTCGGATTAGCAAATGAAGATAAAGTATATGGTTTCTGGATGAGGTTCTGAAACTCAACTAGCTTAGAATTAAGCAAATTCCGTTCTCTCTCGATCTGGAAAAGAAGAATAACATTGGTAACTCAGGCAAGCAAACCTATGTGATTAAAGAAAGTTAACGCTATGAGAAGCTCCCACAAAAGAAAATTTGCTGAAAGAATCTTGGCATGCTGGCAAAGCAGTAGATACCGTAAACACAAGCCAAAATGACAAGTCGGTAAGTGCATATTGTCTTACAATGAGCTGCAAACTTTTTCCCTGCCTAGAGTCATCATATGCTAATGCGCGCAACTCTTCACAGCTGACGTCACCAACAATGTCACAGGGACCACTGGTTACAAACACATAACTTTGTTATTGGAAAACAAAAAGAGATAGACTTTGTAATCACATAAACCGAATATACTGAGATCATACATTGCTAGTTGAAATATAAGATAATATAAGCCATTGGGTCATGTTTTATTCACTATATAAAAAGTATTAACTTAATCAAAACAAAATAGTAGATCATCAGCATCTATCATGAATACAAGTTAATGCAATAATAACAATTATGTTAGTTAGAACAACATACATTTTATCATGACCATAACAAGTAAGCTTCCATTGGGGCCTCTCATTTTCAAGATCTTCCACAATTACTCTTTTGCAGGACTCAGAATCTGTGCACCTATTGGCATACATCAAAACCGCGGCAATAATTCCCAAATTTTCTTAATATATTACAACAAAGGACAATGGATGACCTACAAAAACTGAAAATTGAAGAGATTCACTTACTTATGAACCGTGGCACTTTGCTGATTTTGAGATTGTTGTGAAGCAGATGCACCACGTGACCATTTATTCTCGAATGGCTGGGGTCAAAGAAATCAAGAAAAAATGAGCTACTCACACACAGTGCATGCCAACATATTAGTAAGAGAATTTTTTAAAGATCTCAGAAACGTCAATAACCTACCACAACAAAGCATGTCACTTAAAAAATTATTAGAACAACAAGCAATGGGAGAAACCTTGAATTGATTTGGTTTAGATCCAAAGTCATTGCCCCCTTTTGACTGATTATTATTCTGAACACCAAAACCAAAAGGGTTTGGCATCTGTTGCTGCTGATTTGTTTGCTGAAATGGACTGCCATTTTGTACGCCAAATCCAAATGGGTTGCTTTTTGGTTGTTGTTGTTGTGACGTGGCATGAATAAACTTACAGCGATCGCCATATCGACAACTGGAAAAAAAATAGTCAAATATAGATGGGGCGCAGATAAGACTATGAAGTTATGTATTTACACAAAATGCAGCATATCATAAAAAATATCATAGCATCTGCAAAAACAGATACAGAACATACTGAATTTTTGACAGAATAAAGAGGAAATGATCCAACATGATACAGAGGTTTAGGCTTTCCCCTTCACTCTAAACAGGTACAAACTATGTTAAGAATTACCTAGTTTTCCAACCAGCGTAGACGTTTTAGGCTTTCCCCTTCACTCTAAACATTTTTCACTTAAATACCCATGATGCTGTTGTTACTGGAAATTTGTGCTCTTAAAAACATAGGATCATTCTTCTTTAGCCACTACACATTTGGCAGTGTGCAGTAATAATATATTAATTTTTAAACATTCTCAGACCCTTTAATTTTTAAAGAAGCAAGACAAATTAATCCTTCATCTCAAAACAGGACTGGACACCATTAGCGAATGAAGGATCAAATCTACAGTACAACCTCAATCATTAGCAAGCTAGACGAAAATAGAGCTCAACAAAAGTGCAAAACCAGTTCAACGAAGCAATGACAAAACTACTGAAAAGTGAATATCACGTGTGTGCGTTCCATTGCAAGAGCGGGAAAACTTGAATTACCCGTTAAGAAAAGATAATGATGCTAAACACAGAAGAAAACAGCGATTCGAAGGCACTCAGACCCAAATCGAAACAGTCATCGATCACGGAGCGGTACTAGGAAAGATAAACAAACAGAGAACAAAGCATATACCTTCCGTGCTGAAAATTTCTGCAGAGATCCTTTTTAGGAGGCATGGTTTTAGGGTTTATAGGGGGTTTTCACTCAAATTGAATGTATATATCTGCTGGTTATTGAATTTGGGATCGAATAGTGAAACCGAGGATAAAGAGCGAACGGTGGCGCGTCGCAGAGACGCTAACCAAAGGTGGCGTTTGGAGTCTGCTCAAAATATGTTCCTGAAATTTGAGAGGACATTTTGATTAAAAAAATAGTTTTTCGAATTTAATATCAATTTCGGGCATAATTATTCATGTATATTATGATTTTTTAAGATTATAAAACATTAAATTAACTTAAGTTATAAATATATTTAATATTTTATTATAATTTTTTATATACAATATTTAATATTTTTTTATATTGGTTTGACATAAATATTAAATGTAATATATAAAAAATTATATCTAACTTCATAAACAAAAATAAATTATTAATTAAATCTATTTAGAAAATAATAAAATTAATATTTATAAATTTATCTATCGATCATATTATGTGATATTAATTTTATAAAATTAATGACAAGGACGAACGACTCTTATAAATAGGTATACTATTAAATAAATATGATACATATGTGTGATTATAACATTAGATAAAAAGTTTGTATTGTAACTCAAATAACAATGAATTTTGAATTGAATTGTAAAATTGATTAATAGCATTTGAAGCCCATGATGAGACAAATAAAACTGAGATGTGATTTATAGATTTATAACAATTGATTCATTTGTAATTGAATAAAATATGTAGCATGTATGTTTAGAAAAAAATTTAGTTTAAAATTTTTAATTGTCAATATATTCAATTTTCGATCGAGACATATCATTAAAAAATTATAAGATGTGTTTTCTAACGGTGTATACATTATTAATGTTCAACAATGAAATTTAGGCAAATTTAAAAAAAAAAAATCATATTTCTGATGAATAAAAATGATAAAAGTATACAATGCATATATTTGTTATATCAAAATAAAAAACAAGATATTGCAACTTAAAACTAATAAAAAGTTGCAAAGGATGGTTTAAATTTAATTGAGGTTGTAAAGTGTATAAAACTATTAATAATAAAATTACAATCCATATGTTTTGTTTACAAAAATAAAAACAAGATTGACTGCAGAATCTAGACATGGAGGAGGTTTAGGGTTTGGACCAAGAGCGAGAAGGATGAAATAGAAAGAGCAATGAAACTGTAGCAAGTTCCCATTTTTCTGGCATTGCAATTAATTCGAAGGGAATTTAGGGGAGAAGATGAGGATATACATCGGAGGTTTGGGATCGAGCGTGCAGGAAGATGACCTGAAGAAGACATTCACCTCGCCGCAGCTCGGTTCTGTTCAGTCCGTTGAGATTATTCGCTCCAAAGGCCGGAGCTTCGGGTACTTGGAGTACGCTCCCGCCTCCGACAAAGGCCTGGCCAAGCTTTTCAGCACGGTCTCTCTCCTCTCTCTCTCTCTCTCACTCTCTCAATTGTGTATATGCACTGTTATATGATGGGGTTGATTAGTGATTGGGTGGTTTGTAAGGTTTCATTATGTAGAAAATGTCAAAACAGTGTAGACTGTGTAGTGACATCATTTATAGCTCTAGAAAGAAAATATTGAACCTTTAGGAGCAAGACTGCAACTAAATTGTGATGGGTCTCTGCATTTGCATTGTAAATGAACCTTTTATCTGTCTGTGGGGAAGAAGATCCATTTGATAGCCTGTGTGTGCATCTTACATTTTTTTTTTTCTTTTTGGGTTGATTTTTAAGATGTAGTTTGGGGTTTTTTTAGGCAGCTGGTCTCCAGTATGATTTCAAAATTATAAAAATCATGACTTGAAACGGATTAGGCGTTCAAAAACCGAGTTAATGACTGAAAAAATAATTGTATCTCCGTGTAAAGATTCATTTCAATTGGGTACGTGGCTATTTGCTGTCAAAAGTTGAATAGATTTGAAACAAGTGAAGCATTTAGAGGAAATTAAGGTTGGTGCTCACATGAATTCGAGATGAAGGCTTCTTGCTTGGCCTCGTTGAGGTTTATCAATACTGAGATCTGTTATTGCTGTTGGAGGAGGAACAACATGGTTTTTCTCGGAAAGTAGAAAAATAAGTTCTGTTATCGGAGTTGGTGATCTCGTTTATGCTCTCTAATAACCTTTACTATTACCTTGACAGTTTTCATGTTCTCTTGAGCTTAATATGTACAAAGTTCCTACTTTTGATCTTTGAATGTATTATGATACAGTATAATGGGTGCATGTGGAAAGGGGGGAGGCTCAAACTTGAGAAGGCCAAAGAAGACTATCTTTCTCGTTTAAGACGTGAATGGACTGAAGATGCGGAGCTTGAAATGAAATCTTCTAACCGGATTGAGAATGACAGCGCTCCTGCACGGCAAAATCCTAAAGTAGACCAAGATATTAACAAATTACAGCTCAATATATTTTTCCCCAAGCTGAGGAAGGTAATTTGGATGTACACAATCACATATGTGCTGTTTGCACTAAGTTTTTTAGCTTTTCTTATTAGACCGTGCACTAGTTTTTAAAGGAGTCAGATTTCATCTCAAAGATTTATTTTGGACAAGATTTTTTGAAAGAATTTTCATACCTCCTTCTGTGCTTCGTTATATGTGATGATAATATGCTGATCTAAGTACCACCATCATTTTTTTTTTTTTTTTTACAGATAAAATCCATACCTCTAAAAGGAACGGGCAAGCACAAGTACAGTTTTCAACGTGTAGAAGTTCCTCCACTTCCCATCCACTTTTGTGATTGTGAGGAGCATTGTGGGCCTCTCCAGTTGGCAAAAAGAAATACTACAGATCATCACGAGACAAGAAATATTGGTGATAAACATGAGATGGACGCTTATGGGGTGAATGAGGACGAGCTCAACATGATGAAATCAATATTGGGCAAGCTTTTGGAGGATGAAGACAACTCAAAGTCAGTTTTTAATGAAGCTAAACCCAGTAAGGAGATAAACAAGAACACCGATTTGGCTGATGATAATTTGCCTGCTGATAAAGTTGATGAGGAAGAACTAGAGAGTGATGAGGACAGTATTGTAATTAACATTGTGGGCCGACCAAGTAAAAAGAGGGTCGCTTCATTTGAGGATTGGGGCCAGAGAACAACCCCTACCAATCAGGTACAGGAAAAGCATTTCATCATTATATTCTATTTTTAAAAAAACCACCCTAGGAGATTTAATGTAGATAAAAAAATAAATCCAGCTATCTTTAAATTCCTGAAATGCTGCCTTGATAGTTGTTAATATATCACAATACCCGACCCTCGATGGGTTTATAGGGCGGTTATTTGTTAAGGGAACACGAAGCTCAATGGGGTTGTTGGTAATGGGGTATTATTTGTAATTGTGAATATAATCCGGTTCTTTTGTTATCAGGTCAAATTTCGTGGGTAATTTTTGTTATTGTCCCTTTCCTCTCATGCAATTTCGCATAAGGTGCAAATGCTGACTATTCTTTTCTGCTGTACACGACCAGGATTCCCTGTCAAGAGAGTTTGAAACTTCTAGTAAAGTTACTTCCACAAAACTTGGAAGTAGTAACAAGGAAAAACCTCTTCCAGACAAGAAGAGAAAGCAACCCGTTCATGATATTACACCTTCTAAAAAGAAGTCAAAGAAAGAAAGTCCACTTGGCAGCACAGATAATCCAATCAGTGTAAACACACAGCCAACAGAGACGAAATCTGCTTCAACACAGTTAAGTTCCGATGCCCCCCATCCACGTAAGTCAGCATGGAGAGACCTGACGAGCAACAAGGAAAATACTGCTTTCTGCATCTCAGACATTTTGTCGAACCCTAATCCCGAACCCGAACCAAGATCCGATCCTCTGCCCCAGGCACCACCCCACTCAAATGAAGATCTTGGGCATGAAGACCAATCAAATGAAGATGATAGAGATATGTCAGAACTCACTAATGCTCAATTGGCAAAGCCAAGTGGAAAGTCTGAGGATAAATATGCTAGGGGTCCTTTCTGGCGGCAAAAGTCATCCTGGTTACAACTGATTGCTGACACAAATAAAAGCGCATTCAATATTTCGCAAATTTTGCCTGGCGCGAATTTTGAAAAACCGGAGGTCATAAAATCAGGTAACAATGATTTTTCAAATTTGAGGATTGGAATTGAAGACAGTGAAAAATCCCATGTAGGAGCTAATGAGGGCTCTCAGTCTCACGTAAATCAAACTGTGGATGTTCTGATTGAAAAAAAGGATTTTGAGTTAAAGTCGATAGTGGAAGAGAAGGATGAGGCTTCTGTTCCAGAGCATGTTAGTAGTAACCTGTTACAGAGTAGTCGAGTTGTACCAGAGATTGTCATAAGCGAGACGTGTCCTTTTATGAGAAGTGATGCCTCCATGAAAGAGTGGGCCAAGACTAAGGCTGCTGTAAGTGGATCACTTAAGAAAGACGGTAAGGGAAAGAAACGTGCTCGGGGCTAGAAAAAGGATTAGAAAATGACCAAATCGTTAAAGGAAGGAACGTTATAGCCTGGGAAAAACTTGATGATTGGTGCTTGCTTGAGTGAATTCTTGATTTTATTGGGAGTTGATGGTTTTATCAGTCATCACATATCCGGAGGGATTAAGGTTGGTTTTGTTTTCTTTATTTTAATTTTTTCCTTCTCCATTTCACTTGTTAGTAGTTCTTTCTATTTGAACGGAAAAATATGGGCAGATCATGCAAGTGTACGAGGAAAAAGTAAATTTATTTATTTGGGTATGCATTTTATTTCTTTTCATGATTTTGAAATTTCTATACAGTTGACTAATGTGCTTCTCCTCAGTAGAGTTCTATTTGGGACAGTTATGCAATTGTATTTTTACAATGAATACATAAATTTTTATGATTAAATGACATTTTTAAACAATCAGCACAGATAAATGTTATATCATGATTAAATGACATTTTAAAAAAAAAAATTGACATAAATAAATGTATATTATTGTTCTTCACATTCATTTTTTTTTGTCTTTTTCAAAATATATAATCGAACCCACCTGATCCTCGCGAACATCAGCATTTGTGACATTTATATAGATTTTCGTCTCATGTGTTGGCCATTTGCACTTGCCAGAACAAAGCAGTTAAAACGTAATCTCAAATTCCATTGTCCCTAATGAATGAGGAGCAAGAATTAGTTTTCACCACTTTTTCTTGCTCCTCATTCATTAGGCATTTGCAAGAACAAAGCAGTTAAAACTTAATCTCAAATTCCATTGTCCATCACAAGAAATCTGACAGACCCTTAAGGCTGAAAGTGTACGGTGAACAAATAGTCCATTGAGTGTTCTACTTCAATACTACAACACAAAAAGTCCATTGAGTGTTATAGTTCAATACTACAACATATAATCAGAATTAATTTGGTCCGCAATTCATGACTCTAAGACGATGAATTCCAATCAATTTGACAAAATGGAACACGCACTACTGGTCACTACCGTGCTTTGAGTTCCTCCTCAAACTGGAGTAATATTTCCTTAAGAGGCTTCAAAAATAATTTCAAGTCATGGCTAATCCGCTGCCTCTCGTTTGCTGGGATATCCTTATCCTCATTGAGTTTTACTTCAATCTGCAAAAACAAAAGGAACTAACTTTCACGCTCTTTCTGAAGGTCAAGTAGGAAAGAAAACCATATATACCACAAACTGAGTATATTCACAAAACGGCCAGCTATAATACAGAAAAATATAGTTATCCTTCAAAGTTTCAAATGCCACCTAAGGTGTCACAAATTTATATACATCTTATAAGCCACTCCTTCAATAGAGTGCTCCTGAACATACATATGCCTCATTGTACTAGCAATTTTGAATGATGGTGTAATTAAGCTACATTTCACTAACAATTCCATTTGTTACATGCATTGCCTATCGAGATTTGTGACTTTGCTAAGGAACAAACTACTAACAATTGGATGATGACTGTTTTTTTCTTGATACAAATTATTAAGAAATTATATAATGACATACCTGTAAGTCATCCAGCTCACCAAATGTGAACTCTGGTACATCTATGTGGCCTTTCACTTTCTTCTTCTCCTCTCCAATTAGCCATTCCCCTGAGTTTTATAATATTCCCATTAAAGAACGTAATTGATCATACAAACTATGGGAGGAACCAGGATAAACAAAACAAATAGTGTCAGCAGTCCTGAGAAAATTATGCTTTTACCTTTCACCTTTAGAGTTAACTCATAAGTGTAGCCTACGCGTTTTTTGTTTCGCACCGTGATCAAGAACGCCTGCAAGATACATTGAAACACTATTCGTGAAGTCACTGAGAGAAAAAAATAAATAAAAATTCAAGGATTAGAAAATTAAGATACTAAAAGTACTATAAATAATAATGCAGCCAAATATACCATTCGCCATGAAGTCACTTGAATAATATTTCTGTCCACACCATTTTCTACTTCCATTCTCTTTCAATTTAAATAGTCTCTAGAATACTATTTCTGTCCACACCAAAGTCTATATTTGTAGTCTTAATTTGAGTACCAAAATCTGACAGTGCTGGTCCAGTTAAAGTAAGATAGTTCTCAAACCCTTGGGCATGAGCACACTACATATATAAATCTTTCTCTCATGACACTCTATATGCATGAAATACATCTAACATCTAAATATCGACAAAAAAGAACGGAAATATTCAGGTGCAACAGACTTTTCTGAGATTCGGCACATGGTCAACAATATAGAATGAAACAACAGGAAAGAATAGTCTATAAACTATTTTGTCCAAATTCTAAAAGTTCCTAATTTTATATTTCCTAATTCAGAAGGAAAATTTACTGTAGCTCTGCTACAAAGACTGTTGTCAGAAATAATGAGAAGTCTGCAGAACAAGATTTTAGGCATCCATATTTCTTTAATAATTTTCTTTTATTTTCTTCCCCTAGAATGCCCAATAACAATAATTTTAATTTATCAAACAGATACCCAAAATATTCTTAACAAAGATCTATCTTTGCCATGTAACAAAATATTAACAGTCACTTACATCACCGACGCATCTAGTGACTTCTTCTACTTTTGCCCTGCCACCAGAGAACTCAAGGAAGCCCATAGACACTAGCAACTCCTGCAAAAAATGTTCGAAAATACATAAAATTACTTACTTTTTCCATACAGTTAAGGCCACCCTATACACCAATACCCAGAAATGAAAGGGCTTATAATGTCTGGAGGCCCAAACCTTGATTCTATCACTTGCCCATTTATTCAGATTTTTCTCCTCCCATGTTCCAGCCTGCAAAGAGTAAACTAAATTAAGTAAAGGAGCAAGGAAAACAGAAGGAGATTGTAAATTTACAACCAATCATAACCATTAGCAATCTATTTAAAGCTTCTGGGATCTAAAGTATAACATATAGAAAACTTGTCAATACTTTCAGGAATTTTTAAAGCATTAAAAAAAACGCAAAACAATGCATCAGCCAACAGGAACAAGTACACTCGCACACGCACAAACAAACGCACTCATTCAAAAGAGTCACAAGAACAGTCTAAACAGAAATCGGCAGTAGCACATAATATACCAAACGATATAAGGCTGTTCTATGATCCTGTCACCTTAAGCCACATAACCTTTTGGCAAAACTGCATATGTTTCTGATATCTTCTCCCTCGGTCACACAAAATGGAAAAGTCAAAATCTCTCTCTATAAATCAAATGGAATTTAATCTGGAATGGAGACATATATACACACAGACCCCATATCCTAGTTATTGTTGAAGAGCTCATGCTAAGTTCTTCCAACTATCAAAAGCCACAGCAAACCGGACAAGGTAGTGAGTACAAGAACACCGGAACTGGACAATAAGCATGAAACTTAACAAGAGGCCCATTTAACTATCTATAACGTCTCACACTGATAAATCTGTAGATGATGGCATGTTAGACAATCGACATCAGTTGAGATCATGTAGGATGTGGAGGGAATCAATCAGCAATGCACGCAAAAGCAATCAAATGAAAGAACGTCCAAAGTCCATCAACATCCAAAAGCAATCATACAAATATACTAGTTTAGGTTACGATTCCTATCAACTTTGCCTAAGATTTTGTCGTGCATATCCATCCTCCCATGAAAACACATAGACTTCTCCACAAAACACTGTCAGCTTCACAAGAAGCCTCCTTTCATTTCACTTTTGTTTTAGCACTGCACAATCCATCACAAATCTGGCCGAATCTAATACAATACAACCTCTAAATCAACAAATCAACCCAAATAAAAAAGAAAAAACGAAGATTCAATAGCTCGTACGGCGTTTAATTGCCTTATAGACTCAAAATCAAGTCAGGGCAACAAATTTAAATGATTAGTAATTGAATAAGTTCGAGTGTTTCCCAAGCACATTACCTGATTCCATGCGGATCCAAGGTGTGTTTGGGTAGATTGATTGTGAACCTCCACCGGGTCAATCTTCTTTGGAACGGGCAGAGGCGCGGCGTCCCGGGTCGCCTCTCGGACCCAATACCTATACGAAGATGAATCCGATGAGTTATCAGCCGCCGCACCTGCCGCCGCCTCCATTCTCGTAAATTCCAGAGCAGATCAAATGCAGTGACGCAGAAAAAAAAAATGGAAACTTTGACGGGCAAATTATTGGGTTGTTCGATGAATGTTGGAGATTCAGGGACTGGTGGCGGGGATGGATATATATGAGAAGACAAGGTAACGGATAACGCGAGAGGCAATCGGTTTCCGACAATATTCGAAAGCTCCGGCGAGATTCAGAAGTTCCTGAAAATGCGAACTACTGCAAAATACCTAATGGAGAAAAAATATATGGGGCTCTTCTTTTCTCTAGAAAGTTCTATTCCTGTTTTAGGTCAAACTGAACCAAAGCTGAATTACAATTTTACTTACTTTTGACCATTTTGTTTACTTTGGGTGTTTTTTTTTGTTTTTTTTCATTCATTTCATTGGCGGTATATGGAGAAAAATTAGAAATTCATGGTTATAATATTTTTATATTAATATATATTTTATTTAAAATATACCTTTAAACTAGTACGGAGCCCGATGCACGGACAATAAATATTAAGTAATATTTATAAATTAAAAATAATCATTTCAATAATATTTATAAATTTAAAATATTAAATCAATATGTAATATGATTTACCTATATTAATTTATTGAAATTATTATATAAAATTTAAATTGTGTAAAATTACATAAAATATGTCTATCTAAAATTAGTATACAACCCGTGTGATCCACGTAACTAATAATAAATTATATTATATTTATTTCAAAATAAGTGACATTTTAAAATTTTTATTCAGAAATTTGATTTGACTACAATGTGATTCCATAAAATAAATATTTTTTTATTATACATTTAAAATTCTATGTGAATAATAAGTATAATGATAAAACTTATATTGTTTCATCAATTAAAATGAATTTATTTTTGTATAAACTATCTAAATTAAAAAAAAAGTTAAGTAGTTGAATAATCTATTGAACTATAAATAATTGACTATTTCATTTGCATCCAAGTCAATATTGACCCGGACCGGATTTTATTGTGTAGGATATGCATTAATTAGTTGGGAAAGATAGGTCTCAAAATATTATTTAATAATTTTTATAGAGTACGTATGATTCATAATGTGTAGTTCATTATCAGAAATATATATATTAACAATTTTAATATATTGTAAATATCTTTCAAAAGATATAACCACTCTTTCTATATTACATAAACGTAGGTTTTTTTAATTGATACTCAAATATGGATCTATATATTTGCATTATTAAAATGGCATCAAATTTTTAATTATTTTATGATATATAGTATAACGAAAAATGGTTTATTTTTAGGCAACAAAATATCTTTCGAAAAAATATGCGATGGGATCTACTCATAAACACCCGCCCACAATATACCATATAAGATCACATTTAATTTAACAACACAATACCATAAATTGAATAATATATTTCTAAAATAAGTAAAAATAATATTTTTTGGAGGAAATAGTTAAAATTTAAAAAATAATCAAACCTTTTATATATGTATATATATAGATATGAAAGTTTGATTATTTTTTAAATAGTAACTATTTCCTTCAAAAAAAATCTATTTACTATTTCAGGAAATTAATTTAATTATTTATGGTATATTTTAGATGACCATTTATGGAAATTGCGGTTTATTATTTAAGGAAGTAATTAAGCCATATTTTAAGATATATTGATTACTCAAATCATGTGAATTAATTAATATATGGTAAAGAGTGTAAGCCATATTTTTAATATACCTTGATTACTCAAATCATGTGAATTAATTAAGGGTATAAAGTGGACGAATTTATTTGATGCTACATAAGCAGTCTTGGTGCTTTTCGGTAAATCGTCTCTTCCCCCTTCTTCTTATGACTGAACTTCGCTTCGTCAATTACTGGTATTGATGGTTGTTCCTATGGGAAATAAATTAATCAATTTATGGTATAAAGTGAGCAAATTTATTCAGTTTATTTGATGAAATTTCAAATTTGTTGAAAAATTAATCAATATATTTTGTACTTTTTTCTGTAATGCTTAGGCCAATATATTAGTCTTTAGGCGTGGGATTTCATTTTTCTTTTATTTTTTTCGTATGAAATTAACATAATAAAATTGCGTAACACAGAAAAAATAATATGAACGGATATTTTGATATAATGTGCGTGTATCGATATTTTTTTATAGAAAAAATTATGGTCCATTTTTCTTTGTATATTTAGTGAGTCTCGATTTAATTCATTTTTTGTTACGATATTTCAAATAATTTTTATGTGAAATGCACTGTTCATATTTTTGAGCATGATAAAGAGTGTCAACTTTTTTGGCATAAAAAATCATATGAGTGATTGTTTTTAATCAACTACTAAATTTTTTTGATTTGGATATTTTATAAAATAAATAAATTTATTTCAATTAATGATACAATGTAAGTTTGAGGAAATCACATCCCCCACTTAAACAATCTGAAAATATTACATAAATACACCCCTTATATAATTATTTACAAGTTAACTTTATTTGTTATATTTATTTGCTTATATGCCTAAAAAGTTGATTTCCTATTTACATGGTAACTTCCTATTCCTATTTATATGGTAACTTCTCATCAATTACGTCTCTCTCTCCACTCCCCATCTCTTTCTCTTCTTCACACACGGCCCTATCTCTCTTTTCTTCACACAAAACACGCGCTGCTTGGTCACCCTCCGACGATGGCCGCTGCGGCTAAAGAGAAGCTCACGGCGAGGGTCTTAAGCCCATCGACGAAATTCTTGAAAATTTCCCGCTAGGGTTTCCGCCGTGCCCACTAAAAATCAAACTTCACTGCATTTGTTCATGAAAATTCATCTGCTTCAAACTTCAACACAACTTTTTTCTTTTTTTTTTTATATATAGTTTTTTCTCTATATCAATTTTCTGTAGTTTTTTAAGTGGAATTGGATCGATGATGTGTTGAATTATACTGCGTTATCTATCCGATTATTTCCTGTTTGGAAATGAAGATAGCCTTTTTTAGTACTTGTTGAGATCCTGTGATTGATTAATATAGTATTTGTTTTAATTTTTAATTTTTGTTATATTTAAGGAGCATCAGAGATGAGAGCTAATTAAATCGTCATCCTTGCACTTTGATTGTCAGTGAAGATAAATAATGTGGAATCTGAGATGCTCCCTTTATTAATTTATTTATTATTTTGTGGTTTATTTTTAGTTGATTTTTTAAGTAATGCGGATTGATGATGTGAAAAAAAAATTACGTGCACAAAATCAATGTGTTGGTTCGATTTTTTTAAGATTTTTGGAGTATATTTTTGCTGAGTATATATGCAGTATATATGCAGTATATGTATAGTATATGACCCGCGTCCCTGCCAAAAAATAAGCTTATGTTTAGTATATTAGCAAATTTTTTTGTTGACGAATGTTTGTTTCGGTCGGATTGATTTTCTTCAGTATATTATTAGTCTTTTGGGAGGAATGAGAATTGCTTATTTGTATCATTTTGTTTGTGTTCAGTTGATTTTTTGAGTCTATACTTTGTAGTTTTTTCTTGTTTTTATTGTTCAATGAAAATTGTATGGTTTATTTCCAGTATATTTTTAGCCATGTTTCACTGTTTTCCATTTTTTTTTTCATGACATTAATAGGAAGACGTTCGATAGTATGTAATAGTTAAAAATTTTCGGTATATTATCAATATCTTTTCGGTATATTTTCTCATGGAATTAACAGGAAGACGTTCGACGGTATATTATCAGTATATTCTCGGTATATTTTCTCATGACATTAACAGGAAGACGTTCGACGGGTATATGTACAGTATATTTGCAGTATTTGTTAAAGCAATATATATAGGCGATGAAGATTTTGTGAAATTTCGTACTCTTTACCCGATTTCCTGAAATTACGCGCTAGGAACATGGAAGGTTGTTCCACTTACCTTGTAACTGATTTTAGGCATGATTATAATTAATATTTATCTTTTAGGTATATACACAATTTAATTGGTATGGATGATAATATTGTAATTATCTAAAAATCAGTAAGTATACATGAAAATTTCCCTATAATTTTTATATTCATACTTATTATTCACATTGGTTTTTAGATATATGGTTAAAATTTTATCAAAATAATTATTTTATGAAATCACGTTATAGTCAAATCGAATTCCTGAATAAAAGGTTGAAATGACACATATTTTGAAACGAATATAATGTAATTTATTATCAGTTATGTGCACAATTCAAATTTTATATGGCATTTTCAATAAATTAATATAGGTACATTATATTACATATTGATTTCATGTATTTCATTTATAAATATTATTTAATGAGAATTTTTAATTTATAAATATTAATTAATTTCTCTTACTCGTGCATCGCACGGGATTTGTTCTAGTATATGTCTAAGAGTTTCACTAATTAAAATTTTCGCCTACTCGTTAGACAGATCTATTTATCCTACTATTTGAAAAAATATATATATATTCTTATATTGTCATACTTTTATCAATGTTTTTTTAAGTAAGAATTTTTTAATAAAAGTATCTGTATTTAATAAATTATTTCAATGTAATAGTTACACACTGTAAATTCCTATTCTAATTAGACTACTATGTTGATGGACTTTTTCTTATTAGACTATCAGTATGACTATAGCAAATTTAAGCACATATCAAGCGTATTTAAAACAAATAATTCTATTGTCTTATTAGACTATCAGTGTGACTATAGCAAATTTAAGCACATATGAAGCGTATTTAAAACAAATAATTCTATTGCCTACATAGAACATGAAATCAAAAGTATAATCACGTCCTCTATAAGAAAACCTGCAAATATCAGAGCTAGAAAATGAGGAACTCGTCGGTCTGAATGCGGAAGCGGAGCTGGCACGACAGCGATTTCTCGAACTACTTCGGCTTCCGCTGCTTGAGTTTCCATTAAATCACCTTCCTCTTCGTCCTTCCCCGCCAGCTTCACAAATCTGGGTTGGAGAAAACTCCGTCGGTCTGCAGGGCGGCGACAGAGTAGGGTAGAGCTTGAGTTGGGTTGGGGTTGGAAGTGATACTTCGCCCGTGCTCAGAGAGGAAAAGAGAGAGGTTAGGGTTATGAGGATTGGGGAGTGGGCTGATGAAGGACCCACAAGTGAGAGGGTGTGTTGGAATATCACTTATGAGTCGTCCAACATTGATTTGATAGGGTAAATGAGCCTAGTTTATAAGCCTAGTGGGCTACTCCTACCATCACCAATTGGTTTTTGGGATGGAACCTCACTGCCTCTTGTCCTTTCATCCTTGTTACTCCAAAATAATGAGCGGCATTTTTCTGAGGTAATACTCATAGGAAAGACACAATCTTGTGCCCTTGGATTAACCGACTTTTCCCAAGCCATATGATTAGCAGTCATTTACTCCAACCCAGCACCAATCCTGTTTCACCAATTCCAGTATCATAAAAACCATCACTCTCTTCATCCAAACAAGTCGGGGTAACAGCGAGAAGATTGACGGTCTGAAGGGTGGGGCGGCTCGAGAGGAAATGACTAGGGTGTTAGGTCCCATCGGGTTTAACCATTAGACATGGTCGGCCTGAATTTTCTTGCCAGGACCCAGTAGTTTTCACTCGGTGAAGCCTCAATTAGCTTCCAAGACCTCAAATTCCATATCTTGGTTTCTTCATTAGTGATGTTGTTTAATTTCCCTCTTCTCGCGCCTTGTTGACTACTGTTTTTTTTTTGCCAATTCTCGACAGCTCATCCAGTGTGGTTTCGCCTTCGATTTTCTCATTTCTAAAAGGGAACGAAAGAGATAATTTTCGGACTTACTATAGGATTACTTCACTGTCTTCTCCAGGAGCTTGGCCTGTGATAGACCCATCAGTTCCACTTGGGAAGCTCTGAAGCATATCCTTATCTGGACCCGAGATAGTTCAAAAAGAAGTAACTCTTGAATTCATAATGGAAATAAGCTCTAGCGATTAATTAACAATCATGGCAGCAAACCTCACAACATAAGCAAAGATGACGTTCGCAAGGGCTGATGCTCCTCGAACCGTGAGAATGGTCTTCTATGGCCAGAGACGCCGTACAGGGTGACAGGGGCATAGCACGCAACGTCTTCATCAAGGAGGAACTCGTCGGTCTGAATGCGGAAGTGGAGCTGGAACGACAGTGATTTCTTGAACTACTTCGGCTTTCGCTGCTTGAGTTTAAATCACCTTTCTTTTCATCCTTGTCCGCTAGCTTCACAAATCTGGGTTGGGGAACATCGGCGGAGCGGCGACAAAGTAGGGTAGAGCTTGAGTCGGGTTGGGGTTGGAAGTGATATTTCGGCCGTGTTTAGAGAGAAAAAAAGAGAGGTTAGGGTTATGTGGATTGGGGAGTTAGGCTGATGAAGGACTCACAAGTGAGAGGACGTGGTGGAATATCACTTGTGAGTTGTTCCACATTGATTTGATTGGGTAAATGAGCCTAGTTTATAAGCCTAGTGGGCTACTCCTCACATCACCAATTGGTTTTGGGATGGAACCTCACTTGAGCTAATTTTCTTATGGTGCGCTTCACCTGTGTGGGACTGCACTCTTTTTGCCGCCGTTTGACATGGTACCAGAGCTAGTTCCTTCAAGAGAAAGTTCATAGTTCGACAACAGTCCAAATGCAGGCGGTGGGTGTCGACTATCCAGCTAAAAAGCATCTTACTCCTTCATTGCTCCTTGTATTAATAATATCACTATGATTTCCATCAATGGTTGGGCGAAGCACCAACTCAAATCATCGCCGACATAATTCATTACTCTCCTTCTCAACCTGTTGCTTCTGCTTCTCCAAGAGCTTATCAATCGCCATTTGCACTGCCTCTTGTCTTTTCATCCTTGTTACTCCAAAACAATGAACGACATTTTCTGAGGTGATACTCATAGGAAATACACAATCTTGTGCCCTTGGATTAACTGATTCTTCCCAAGGCATAAGATTAACAGTCATTGACTCCAGCCCAGCACCAATACCTGTTGCACCAATTCCAATATCATAAAAACCATCACTCTCTTCGTCCAAACAAGTCGAGGTAACAGCGAGAAGATTGACGGTTTGAAGGGTGGGGCGGCTCGAGAGGAGATGATTGGGGTGTTATGTCCCTTAGGGTTTTACCATCAGACATGGTCAGCCTGAATTTTCTTCTCACGGCCCAGTAGTTTTCGCTCAGTGAAGCCTCAATTGCCTTCCGATGCCTCAAATTCCATATCTTGGTTTTCTTCATCAGTGATGTTTAATTTCCTTCTTCTCGCGCCTTGTCGACTACTATTTTTTTGGCCAATTCTCAGCAGCTCTTCCGGTGTGGTCATTTCTAAAAGAGAACGAAAGAGATAGTTTTCGGACTTACTATAGGATTACTTCATTGTCTTCTCCTGGAGCTTGGCCTGTGCTAGACCCATCATAGTTCCACTTGGGAAGCTCTGAAGCAAATCCTTAAGTAAACCTGAGATAGTTCAAAAGGAAAACTCTTGAATTCATACTGGAAATAAGCTCGAGTAATTAATTAACAATCGTGGCGGCAAACCTCACAACATAAGCAGAGATGGCGTTCGCAAGGGCTGATGCTCCTCGAACCATGAGAAAGTTCTTCTATGGTCAGGGACACCGTACAGGGTGACAGGGGCGTTTTCATAAAGGAGGAACTCGTCAATCTGAATACGGAAGCGGAGCTGGCACGATAGTGATTTCTCGAACTACTTCGGCTTCCGCTGCTTGAGTTTCCATTAAATCACCTTCCTCTTCGTCCTACCCCACCAGCTTCACAAATCTGGGTTTGGGAAAACTCCATCGGTCTACGTGGCGGCGGCAGAGTAGGGTTGATCTTGAGTGGGTTAGGGTTGGAAGTGATACTTCGGTCGTGCTCAGAGAGAAAAAGAGAGAGGTTAGGGTTATGAGGATTGGTGAGTTGGGCTTATGAAGGACTCACAAGTGAGGGGCGTGTTGGAAATCACTTGTGAGTCGTCCCACATTGATTTGATAGGGTAGATGAGCCTAGTTTATAAGCCCAATGGACTACTCATCCTATCACCAATTGGTTTTGGGATAGAACCTCACTTGGGCTTCATTTGGGCTAACCCTTCCTCTTATGGTGCGCTTCACGTATGTGTCATTTTACCCCTGTTTGACATGGTATCAAAGCTTTTCCTTCAAGAACAAGTTCATATTTCGACAATCCAAATGCAGACAGCGAATGTCGACTATCCAGCTAGAAGGCATCTCATTCTTTCATCGCCCCTTGTATTAATAAAATCACTATGATTTTCATCATTGGTTTGGCGAAACACCAACATAAATCATCGTCGACATGATTCATGCCTCTTCTTCTCGAATTGCTGCTTCTGCATCTCCAAGAGCTTATCGATCGCCATTTGCACTGCCTCTTGTCCTTTCATCCTTGTTACTCCAAAATAATGAGCGGCATTTTTCTGAGGTGATACTCATAGGAAAGACACAATCTTGTGCCCTTGGATTAACCGATTCTTCCCAAGCCATATGATTAGCAGTCGTTTACTCCAGCCCAGCACCAATCCTGTTTCACCAATTCCAATATCATAAAAACCATCACTCTCTTCGTCCAAACAAGTCGGGGTAACAGCGAGAAGATTGATGGTCTGAAGGGTGGGGCGGCTCGAGAGGAAATGACTAGGGTGTTAGGTCCCATCGGGTTTAACCATTAGACATGGTCGGCCTGAATTTTCTTGCCAGGACCCCAGTAGCTTTCACTTGGTGAAGCCTCAATTAGCTTCCAAGACCTCAAATTCCATATCTTGGTTTCTTCATTAGTGATGTTGTTTAATTTCCCTCTTCTCGCGCCTTGTTGACTACTGTTTTTTTGAGCAATTCTCGACAGCTCATCCGGTGTGGTTTCGCTATCGATTTTCTCATTTCTAAAAGGGAACAAAAGAGATAATTTTCGGACTTACTATAGGATTACTTCACTGTCTTCTCCAGGAGCTTGGCCTGTGCTAGACCCATCATAGTTCCACTTGGGGAAGCTCTTAAGCATATCCTTATCTGGACCCAAGATAATTCAAATGGAAGTAACTCTTGAATTCATACTGGAAATAAGCTCCAACAATTATGAACAATCATGGCGGCAAACCTCACAACATAAGCAGAGATGGTGTACGCAAGGGCTGATGCTCCTCAAACTGTGAGAATGGTCTTCTATGGCCAGGGACGCCGTACAGGGTGACAGGGGCATAGCACGCAACGTCTTCATCAAGGAGGAACTCTTTGGTCTGAATGCAGAAGCAGAGCTGGCACGACAGCGATTTCTCAAACTACTTCAGCTTTCGCTGCTTGAGTTTCCATTCACCTTCCTCTTCATCCTTCCCCACCAGCTTCACAAATATGGGTTGAGGAAAATTCCATCGGTCTTCGGGGCGGCGGCAGAGTAAGGTAGAGCTTGAGTTGGGTTGGGGTTGGAAGTGATACTTCGGCCGTGCTCAGAGAGAAAAAAAAAGAGGTTAGGTTTATGAGGATTGGGGAGTTGGGCTGATGAAGGATTCACAAGTAAGTGGACGTGTTGGAATGTCACTTGTGAGTCGTCCCACATTGATTTGATAGGGTAAATGAGCCTAGTTTATAAGCCAGTGGACTACTCCTCCCATCACCAATTGGTTTTGGGATAAAACCTCACTTGGGCTTCATTTGGGCTAACCTTCTTATGGTGCACTTCACCTGTGTGGGACCGCACTCGTTTTGCCCCCGTTTGACAAATACCAAGTTGTTTGTGTCAGGCCTGATGGCAAATCCTAGTTTGTGTAGTTCTAGTCTCAAAGAGCTCCATCCTTGCTCAACCGCTAAACATGCTACTAAAAAAATCAACTGTCTGTTGGTGGGGATTCTGATTGCAATCGTTTTACTCATATGGCTAAACATGTTGCTAAAAAAATTAACTTTCGGTTTGTGGGGATTTGGCTGATTGCAGTTGTGATACTCATATGGCTCGGGTTCAAGAATTAAGGCCTCATTCAATACATGGCGATGACTAAATGGCGATGAGTTCTGGAAAATCTGTTCGCACTTGAGATGTGCTGGACTCGTTGAATGCATGGCGATGTAAGTCTTTTATTGTTTTTCTTTTCTTTGGTCAATCATGTGTTCTTCTTTGTTTGCCATTGGGTCGTTTGTCGCCTTGGAATCATGCGTTCTTCTTTGTTTGCCGGGTCGTTTGGCGCCTTGAGTTTTTTAATTGGACTGACTTGCGTACTTTGTTTGACGAGAAATTTACTCCACTTACAATCCCTGGACTCAATAATATCAATTTTACGATCAAATAGATCTTTCATCAAATTTACGATCTATGATAATTAACATAATATTAATAATAGATCAGGCGGTTATAATTTCGCTGATTAATGGATAAGTAATGTTAATTAGGCGGTTTCAAAAATTTAAAACAACTACATCCAATTAAACTCATCTTACATGATTTTCGGGAATCATGATTTCCTACCACCTTTACACTCAAAGGAAAAAAAAAAATAGAAGAGATATCACTCATCTCTCCATATCTCGAGTATAGTGCTTAGAAATTCTCTCACCAAAAATCTCTCGTCTCTCTCATCTCTCATACACAAATCTTGAATATCTGAAAAAGCTCCAATCTCGGCGATAGAACAATGTCGAAGTGAACAAAAATTGAGGGCAAACCATCCGAAATTGAAGACGAAGCAAGGATAACCCGCTCCCAATCTCGTCAAAAATCGCAATTTCAACCTCCCGAGCGCAAGGTTGTACAAAAAAGCTCCAATTTCAGAAAATAGAGGCTCCAAATCGTTGCAAAAATTATATTCTGAAGACCGCAGACGGTGAGTCAGACGTCGGCGATGATTTTGTCTCCGAACGTAAAATAAAAAAAAAAAAAAAAAAAAAAATGAAAGCTCAAGGCTAAATTCAAGAGGATGTTTTCAGAAAATAACATCAGCCAGATTCATCTCCTCCTTATAGACTCACTCAGCTCTCATTGTTTTTCAAAGTAAGCAATAAATCTAATGCCAAATATCGTTTTACTCCAGCTCAACATCGCGCCATCTGAAAGCTCGTAAGCTACATCTCCCCATCGTCTCCCGACTCATCATCACTACTCGACGAACTATGATCATCTTGCTCGATACTTTTGTCCTCGTGTTTTGTACTTTTGTTGTTTCTTTCATCGTCCGAGCTCGTCCCTGAAAGAGGTGTATTTGGACCCGAGACGAGTCTGGCCGGGATAGGGGTCTCGGGTGGGGCCACGGCCAGAAAACCGAGATGTCGCTAATGAGGGGTCGAGCAAAAGGCTCGTCTTGGAGACACATGGCATGACAGCAACTCCAACCAACTGGTTTAGGCTCATCACCGGAAAATGCTCACGGAGTAGCGGGTCCGCCATGTCTGGGAACTTGGATGGGTCTCGGAATTTAGGTTGGGCCTGTTGAAATCGAGTCGAGTTAGAAGTGTGGTTCCTATTTCAAGAATTTTTCCCCCCATTTTTTCCAGGAAGCATTTAGGATGACAAAAAAGCTAACAAGAACTTGACTCAAATTTAATCGAACCGAACGAGCCGAGCTTGGGAATTTCGACCTCATTTTCGTTTACATCCGAATAGTCGAACGGTGTTCGTGTTCGTTCGTTTATTTTTTCGCGCAAAAAAAATCGTGATTGAGCTCGTTCGTTTAATTGTTCGTCAAAGATCGAGTTTGAATAATTTAGGACATAAACTTTTTTAAATATGTTTGATTAACTCGAAATTTGTTCGTTCGAACTCAAAAATAATAATAATAAAAAAATATTTTTGTAATTTATATTATTTATTAAAAATATCATGTAAATTAATATTAGCAAAAAAAAAATATATTAAAATTAATATTAGCAAAAATTATTGAACGTTCGCGAACGAGCTCGTGTTCGTTCGTTTACTAAACGAGCCTAATTTTCTGTTCAAGCTCAGCTTAATTAACAAAAGAAGAAGCTTTTTTCAAACACAAACGAGTTTTCGTTCGCGAACTTTCGATTTGTTAACAGCCCTCGAATTTGCATGATATGATATGAGGTGTTTTTGTGAAACAGAGCAAAGGAAGAACAAGAAATTTAATAACGATCACTCAAAACTCACCCAACTAACTAAATTTTGCTCGTCTGCTGGTCGTGAGGTGTCGAGGGCTCGACGTCCTGTGATGAGCTCTAATAGGATCACGCCAAAACTATACACATCGGATTTCAATGTCAACTCCCCTTTCATTTCGTACTCCGGTGCAGAATACCCATAGCCTGCCATCTTGCTGCCGCCAGCCTGGACGAGCTTAGCCAGCCCGTACTCGGAGAGTTTTGGGTTGTTGACCTCAGCCACTAAAATGTATGACGATTTAAGGTCTCGGTATATGATCGGGGGGTTGACTTTTTCGTGCAAGTACTCGAGTCCTTCAGCAATACCAAACGGGATTTTCATTCTAGCCGACCAAGTGAATGGCTTTCTCCCTGCTGGAAGGTCTGCACAAAATTTTGATTTCCGGTGAACATTTTACTGAAATCGAGAGATTTTTTCAGTAAATTACGGGGACTAAGGGTCAAAAAACTCGATTCATACTCAAAATCTAACTCAATTTTAACTCAACTCCATTATCATCAATATTATCAATATAATTAAATAATACCAACCAATCATTCTTACACATCCCATCAACTTTAATTTACTATTCATCAACTCACATAATTTTAATTAACTATCACATCACATCATCTCTCCTACTTTTACATCAACAACTTAATTGATGATTTTGTTTGTTAATATTTGCTTAACTACAAAATATTTTAAAGTTTATAAAGAATCTCATTTTATGTAGGTTCTTGGTACTTTTTTATTTGTACATATTTATTTTTCATCCCATATCCAAATACAAATTTAAATGCGGATCTTACATGTTTATTAGAAATATATATATATTTTTTCAAAAAGTATAACGATCATATAATTAATTTTATCATATATCATATGCTGGATGTTATTAGTTTGGTTGGGACACTCATTATATTCAAATAAATAATATATAATTTTTCATATTTAGTATTTCTTTTTTTATAATAATAAGATGTTAAACATAAATAACTATGTATAATATAAAGTCTTAGAAAAGGTTTTAAGTAAAAACCCCTCCGTGCAGCGCACGGGATACACACTAGTTTTTAATTGGAGAGAGGAACAGATTTAGCCGTAATTAATCGGAGAGAGAAACAAATCCTAATTGGAGAGAGATAAAGACTCTCGGCAATTAAATGCGTGTTTATTAGTTGGGGAGAAGAAGATTTCAAGGTGAGAGATTTAAGCAATTAAATTAAATGCGTGTTTATTGGTTGGAGAGAGAAGGAGATTTCATGGTGAGAGAATAAATCTCGTAGTTGTGAAAAAAAAAACCAACAGCAAGTCCATTTTGATTGAACTCTTTTCTAATCGTGTATATGATAATATTTGTTATATTGTGTATATGTATGTAAATTTCCCTTGTTTGATCCTTGAACTTTTTACTTGGATTGTTCAGCACGTTGAATTTTTACTTGGACTGTTTACATTTTACAGGGGAGGTGTTTAGGGTTTTAAATAGAGATGTTAAATGGTCCTTGGCCCGACGGGCCGGCCCGTTTAGCCCGGAAAAAAAGAGGGTTAGGTCTTTTTATTAGTAGCCCGTTTAATTCAAGGCTTTTTAGGCCCAGACCATTTAGCTTGAAGCCCGCTAGGGTTAGTCCGGAACCCACTAGGGCTAGCCCGTTTAACTAGGGTTGGGCGGTGTAAATGTTTGCATCAAGTAAGTAATATGCTCTTAGATTCCTTGTATATTACAATCTTGATATTCCACTTCACATGTAAGTACGATTTGTAATGGATTATTATGATTTTGAAAGATAATTATTAAAAATATTGTTATTGTACTTCATACCAAAATATTTAAGTCAATCAGAACGACTAATAAGAAGTACATGAAACATAGTGATAGACGGTAAATACTAAATAGCCGTTGAAAATAATTTTTAACTAACCGTTGTTATTTTTTTTAATATTTTTTACTCTTTTTATTTTTATTATTATTATTATTATTATTATTATTATTATTATTATTATTATTATAATTATTATTATTATAGCCATAGCCCGAAACCCGCTAGGGTTAGGGTTAAGTCTTTTTTTTGGTAGCCCATTTAAATCCAGGATTTTTAGGCCCGGACCGTTTAACCCGAAGCCCGCTAGGCTAGCCCATTTAACATTTCTAGTTTTAAACGTGTGTTCACCATTTTAGAGAAAGGGTTAATGGGTTTAGAGGATGTGTAGCGCTTCGCGAGATTTGCGTTTTAGTGCAAAATTTGTTTTCTTCTTATAATATTTTTATATAATGTTTTCTATAATATAAATCTATATATATAATGTTTTTATCATGTAAATCTATATATTATTAAAAATTGAGAATTTAATTATAACTTTATTTTAAATTTATTGTAAATATTAATGCTGAATAAAGTAGCCTTGACATTTAAGAGAATAATCTTGACAATAACAATCCTATAACTTAAATTACTAATTGTAAAAGAATAATCTTGACATTAACAATTACTGATTAAGAATCGATGTAACTTTTATGTTGTTATAGGAAATACTTGATTAATCTTCTAAGAAATAAAATAATTCTTTTTTATGTTATAGGAAATACTTGATTAATCTTATAAGAACAAAATAATCTTTTTCTTGATGTTGTAAGAAATACTTGATTAATCTTTCTTATAAAATAAAATAACATTGTATTTAATTGTATTTTTTTAATCATACATTGATAATTTAAATAATTATATAGGTAAGATAATATATTTTATTAAATTATATTTCTGTTATTAAAATTAATTTAAAATAACTAAAGTAAAATGTAATATTAATGTATTGCATGCAAAGTATTGGATGCGAAATCTCAGTTATGAAAGTAATTATGATGTTCAAATAATAGAGGATGAATGATGGTTGGTCATGCTCCTTATACTTTTTACATTTTCTTAATATTACACTCATTTTTGTTTCCATATATTATTTTTACGTAATATTTTTATATAATGTTTTTATAATATAAATCTATATAATATTAAAAATTGATAATTTAATTATAAATTTATTTTAATTTTATTTAGTAAATATTAATGCTAAATAAAGTAATCTTTAACATCTATATATATTGTTAGTAAAAGAATAAACTTGACGTCTCATACCAATTCTATGACTTGGATTAATCATTTGAATCTTTTTTATGTTGTAAGAAATACTTGAATAATCTTTTAAAAAAATAAAATAATTTTGATATAAATAATGTTTTCAATTGTTTTTTTTTTTCAATCATATGTTGATAATTTAAATAATTAAATATTAGTAAGATAATATATTTCATTGAATTATATTTTTGTTATTAAAATTAATTTAAAATAATTAGGTAAATATTCATATTGAGTATAACGTCAACGATTGAAGGTCAAACTTGTTGGTTAACTCTACTTCAAAGTATATATAGAATCCACTAGAGTAAGATAAGTGTTCAAGATTTTTCTAAAATTATCTTACAAGATTTTTCTTAAAAAAAAACCTAATTATGATGTTTGAATAAACTAAATAGCGTTCAATATTTTTCTTAAAAATAAATATGATGTTTCAATAAGCTAATTATGATGTTTGATTGATTTCAACGGGGAAGGAGGTTCGTGAGCCGGGAGAGGATGCGCCCTAGAGGATGCACATGGCTGCTGGAGAGGATGCGGCTGGAGCTAATCGAAATTTTGGAGATTTTTTCGGGCTCTTTGTTTGATATTGTTTATTAGTATCTGGACTAGTTGGATTTAGTGCTTGATTGTTTTTTCTTCCTTCTTGTCTGTAATTTTACTTTGTTCAGTATTTCTTCCCTTTTTTGTGTTTGATCACTGGTCGTGCAATGCCATGCGTCTTCAGATGTGTGAGGCCTATATGATGTTGCTGTAAAATTATTGTGCCTCTTTTGAGGTACATCATGAGTGACTGAACATTCAAGAAGATGATTACAAGCTCCCCTTTGAGCTAAAGTGACTCATAGGAGGTAAACCCAACTTTATTTTTATCTGATTGTCGTTGAAAAAAAAAAAAAGCACTTCTCTTTAACTTATGATATTAAAATGTGGATATTTGAATTTTTATCTATTTGAAATCTTTGCTGGAGTATGTGATGCTATTTGTTATTACTCAGTTACTCTTTTATGCAATCAAATGTACAATGAGTTGGGAATCATACATCATGTTTATTTCAAATCTCTAAACAAAAACCACCTCATATATGCCATAGAATTGATAATTAAAATTATTAAAATCACCTAATATGACACATCATATTATGGCATGTTTTATGGCGTTCATAGAGGCGCCATAGAATTTCTGTCGGTTTCAGGTCAAAACAAACTTGAATTACAAGCCAGTTTTTATTTACTTTTGACCTTTTGTTTACTTAGCGGTTTGGCCGTTTATTTTTATTTTTTTGGCGGTATGGCGGTTTGTATTGAGAAAAATTAGAAATTCATGCTTATCATATTTTTATATTATATATTTTTTATTTAAAACATATGTTTAAATGTGAAAGTATATGTATATCTAAGAGTTTTACTACTTAAAATTTTCGCCTAATCCTTAGNATATTTTATATTGTCGTACTTCTATTAGTGTTCTCTTTAAGTATGAATTTATTTAATAAGTGTATGTATTTATAAAATAATCATATCGATGTAATAGTTAGACTGTAAATTCATACTCTAATTAGACTACAATTTTGGTGGACTTTTTTTATTAGATTAGTGTGAATATAGCATGTTTAAGCACAGATGAAGCATATTTCAAAATAAACAATTCTATTTCACACTATTATTTCATTGTACTTCCGCTCTTCATCATGGAAATGAGAAGCCAATACTACAGTAATTAATCCTCACAAAGTCGTTATTTTGCCTGTTTCGCTTTGATGCTCCAACAAACATACAAACAAAATCGCACTTACTGCGATCTCATTCCAAAAGAAAAACACGATTCAATTGCCTACACACGAACACGAATTCAGAAGTAAAATCACGTCCTCTATGAGAAAACCTGCAAATATTAGAGTTGGAAAAGTCAAAATCTTTTTGTTTGTTTGACATAATGAGCCAAAACAATTTTACAATTTGGGACTCAAAAACATAAACGATCCCATTCACTCACTCGAACTCAAACTCGAACAACCGACAATTTTCCTAGGTCTAAAAATCTGTCACCATTGCCTACAGGAAGATGTATACTTTTGTTCCTCTTTTGATGTTTAATGGAAACCCGACCTATCACTTATCGTACATAACGATGTTAGTTGATCTTCGGCTTTGGTCTTCTCGGCTTTAGTACAAACCAAAGCACAAGTATAACAACCAAAAAGGCGG